TAGGTCTGTCTACCTCTGACTACCTCTAGTAGAGTAACTCATCCCGAAGCCCCTGCCTTGCTGCACGCACCCAGAAAAATCATATCTTAATTCAGTATATTTGTACTCGGGTTTGCACGAGATCAATTTCGCTATTGAAACAATGCAAAAATATCATTACAATAAGATCACTCAGATACGGAAAATAACATTGTTCAGGAACTAGATTATTTTCAAGTAAATTGTTCTAAATTAAAACATATCTTCGCACTGTTCCAAGTTCAAAATTGTACCTGTGGAAACTCGATGTGCAGACCGCCGCAGGTCGTGCGGTCCCCTCGCTCCCGGGGCCGTACGCACTGCAGGTCGGGCGAGGCATTTACGGGCCGGCCCCCAACCCTGCAGGCCGCATTCCGTATAGCGCCGCAGTCCGGGCCCGGCTGGAGTGCTCTGCTCACGCCGGCCCCGGGACTCAGACCGCAGGACTCCCCGTGTCCTTCCCGCGGGGTTGCTCTGATCGTCGAAGAGCTTCACGAGGACGCCCTTTCGGCACGTCGCCGAGCCGTAGCTCGAGGTCGAGGTCAGCTCGGTTTTCGGCGACGTTGTTCTCGAATCTGGTGCCCCTCTCTTACTTCTTCTTGCGCGGGGACTTGCCTTGGGAAGGAGAACAGTGACAAGGGGAGGGGTTTAAAGGGGGGACGGTGGCGGGTGTGAGGGGGTCCTTGGAGGACAGAGGCGATGGCGGGCAGCCGAGTGACTTCGGACACGGGGAGGGGGTCGCAAAGTCAAACACAGAGTCGTGGGCGACGCGCTGACTGCGGCGGGCGGGCGGGGCTGGCGGGGCGGAGCGGACGGGCCCGGACAGTCAGGAGGGTCAACGCGGCGGACACGGGCGGACGTGGCGGGCTTGGGCTGGAATCCAGCTTCCTGGAGGAGTGGGTCGGGCGCCCTGTGCCGGGTGGCCTGCTGTGCACACCCCCCGGGCAGGGCGGCACTACTCCCCCCCCTCCCTCCCCCGGCGTTTCTGAACTGTCTTGCCCTGCCCTGCTCCAGCGCCGTCCTGGCCGCCAATAATGACCAGCTCTTTGAAGGAGAATGGCAACGCTTGCGACCGGCCCCGTCCTGGCCAGGTTGAGGTGTTTGCAGGGCCTGGGCGTAACTCCCTGGTGCACTCGATGGAGTGGACGTGGGTTCCCCCTTCCCCACCTCGTCCGAGAGCCCTTCCCACCGCACGGTGATGCCTCAGTGTGGGTGGGGCCCGCCGAGTCATGGGTGGCTCCTACTGTCGGATTACACTAGCCGTGTCGTTATAACCGTCCCCTAAAATTTAAGTTTCAGCGCCGTGTCGGCTGTTCGTCCGCACCTCCCTCCCTCCCTCCCCCCCTGCTCTACGCGGACTGCCTGCCGACTTATTCTCTTGTTCTCTTGTGCTCCGAGCGATGCGGCCTCCTCATTAGTTTCTCCGGGGCTAATTTTGATACACTCCGGCCGTGTGCCGCGGCAGCCGGGGAGCGGGCCGGGGCGAGATTAGCACTGCCAATGCGGGTCGTGCAAACGAAAGGCCTTCAGCAGAGCGCTCTGGGCGCGGCCGGGACGGGGCAGGGCGGGGCTGGGCCTGAGCCTCGGGCTACCAAATAAATATGAGGCGCACGACATTTTTTGGCCTCCCCCCCCCCCCCTTCCTTTCCTCCCCTGCCGAGGCCCGCCGCGTCCCTGCTGCCCCTAATTCTCTCTCGTTTGCTCCCACTTTTCCGCCCCGTTCGGCCGCCCCCTGTCCCATATACTTTTGCACCCGTGCCCTCCGCCGGTCCGCCCAGGGCCCCTGGGCAAAAGCTTAGCGTGTGGTGTTGCCCCCCCACTTGAATTAATTTTCGCCAAACTCAATTATCCTCCATTTCCAGTTTGGATCGCGCGTCGCGGTGTCCTGTTGGTCGTGAAGTCCAGCGTCCCCCACCTCGTCGCCGTGCGCGAGTATGGGCTGACGGTCAGCCGCTGACATAACGTTGTGTTGCGTCCGTTGTTCTATCGTTTGTCAATTCCCCTTCAACTTCTGTTCCATACTAAGATGCTCAAATTCATCTATAATTCTTTTGCATAGAAAGAGCCGTTTAACACTGACTGCCATACAGGAAACAGGCCAAGTGCCAAGTTACTTTCAGACTACGAAACTACCTTCATGTTCTTTGGTCTTTGTTGCAGGTCTCGACCGACAATCAGACGGTCGTCAGTTTCCTGACGTTCATTCCCTCCAAGGATGACGCCGGCAAGTCGCTCTTCTGCCGAGGCGAGACCCCGGACCTCACGAGTTCGGCAAAGGAGGACTCGGTCAAGCTCAACGTGACGCGTAAGTCCTGCAAGCATTAAAACAAGGGGCAAGCCCTATACATTAAATCCAAGATGTGCACTATCACGTCCAGCGTCACCAAAGTGTGAGGCAGTCTCATAGAGATTACAAGGGGCCCTCTGCGAGGAAAGGCGTCCTCGAAAGTGACTATGAAAGTGTATTGGACACCCCCGTTTCTGCCTTTAGTCCTTTCGCGTTTCAGTGCCGCCGTTTAGGTCTGTCTACCTCTGACTACCTCTAGTAGAGT